AGAATCAAACACAGCCTTTTAATACGGGGTATAATAGTATTCAAAAATACCTAGTAAAGTAGTTGTACTGGTCTTGTAGTTTATTTTTTAAAAACTGTGAAGGGTATTAATCATAATCTTTGCATTTGATATAGTGCCTTATCACATCTTTGAGACGTCTCAAAGCGCTTCACAGAATATACTGTAAAGTGAACTGACTGTGTATTTTGTGGGCGAAATATTGTATAGAATTAAGATTGTAAATGAAATGCCTTGTGGTGAGAGTCCACTTTCCTCTATTTATCTAGGATGTCCTTTCTGAAAAAAAGCATCTTCATTTCAAAAGGGCAAACTGGAACCAGCGATATTTCCTCAAACTTGCACTGGAAGTTTCAAATTAACTCAATTTTCACTTTACTTTTGCCAACCTTTTAGATCATTTGGCCTCTAGATCAGTTTGTTTTAAGGTGTTACACAGTGAGATTATGAGAAACTCCTTAGTCTCACTATTACTCTTTTTTGATGGCAATACTTCGGAGGCACAATAAATTGATTGCTTTACTATTTAATAATGTTCCATTTTGCAGCTCTGTCATTTCATTCCTGTAGCAGTTCCTACTTTTGTGGTTATAATCTTTCAGTTCCTCCAACTACTTTTTACAGAAAATACGTTTTTTTGATTGTGCATATTCCTACTGAATCTCTGTACTACATTGGGATTCTGCAACTAAAGCAGATCCATTAATACCACTTTCGACTTGGTTACACTATTTGGTTCATTGTGAATTATAAAAAATAATTCCTTGCATTGATCTAGCGCCTTCCCCGCTTGGAAACTACTCCAAAATGCTTCACATGTTTTACTGTGAGTATAGTGACTGCATTTCGCCCTCAAAATACACAGTCAAGACCACGTTACAGTATATCTTGTGAAGTGGTTTGAGATGTCTTGATGACGCTGTATCAAAAATATCAAAAAATGCCAGGAGTATTATGTAGGCAAATACAACATGTGATTTGTGCACAGTAAATGTCCCACAAATAGCTATGAAAGCATCTGCCTTTGTGTGCTACTCTATAGCCAAAGATCTCAATTTTCAAATGAATCTTCTCTATTATTAAATAAGGATAGGGTTTTCTTGTGCAACCAATAATGAGCATTAGCACCAGTTTAAAAAATATAGATATGATTATCAGCAATAATGAATCAGTTCCATTACCAGATTCAAATACTAATGGTCTTTTTCTACCAGGGAGTTTTATCCTATGTTTTTCAAGGAACGTTTGTCATGGCAAAAGTTTCTTGAAAAACATTTGTAGATATAATTTAAATATGTTGAACAAAGCCTGACTACATCAGCCTTTGAAAAGATGACACTCCACTGTCATATTAAAACTCTTACTTTAAATTGGTACAAACTACAGTAAATTTGTAAAATGCAACCGATTCTGTATAATCCAGTTTGGTTTGCCTGTATATCACCTACGTTTACCTGTATATCCATTACTACAACAACAAGATTTCATTTCATTTTCATTTTATTTCATTTTCATTTATAGAGCGCCTTTCACGTCGAGAGGACTTCCCAAGGTGTTGGGACAGTTGGGTCAGGACCCAAGCAGGGGGGAAATGGTCAGGGTGAGGGGAGGGAAGGGAGGAGCGAACGAGGAGGGGGTAGAGAGTCGAGAGGGGAGCTGAAGGCACGGTCGAAGAGAAAGGTCTTGAGACCGGCCTTGAAGGAAGAAAGGGAGGAAGCGGTGAAGGCACTGGGGGATGGAGTTCCAGAGCCTTTTGAAATGTTTAGGTATAAGGCAACAACAAATTTGAGAATTATTATATAATGCATTTTCAGACTTTAAAATAATGAGCATGGATAACGTAGATGTAAGCAGGCTAATTGTCAAAGTAGAGGATAGGAATACAAAATTAGCAAACTTCAAATGAGACTAAAGATTAGATTGATATGTCCCCACACAGCAATGATTATGTAAAATAGACTCCCAGTAAAAGCAATTATGTGGATTAACTCCTTTAAAAGTCGGAATCCGGTTGTTAGTCGATTGGCGGATCGCTTTTCTGGGGGTAATAATCCCGTCAAAAAATAATAATAATAATTTGGTCACTCAATCCATTACTGTTTGTGGGATACTGCAATTGGCTGCTGCGTTTCGCCCACAAAATATGCAGTCAATTCACTTTACAGTATATTGTCTGAAGTGCTTTGAGATGTCTCAGAGACGTGATAAGGCGCTGTATCAAATGCAAGAGCTTATTATTATTTATTATAATTATTGTGTATTCCCTGTATTTCTTTAAATAACTGTGATCATAGAATAAACAGACCACAAGTGACATAGAATTCAAAACATTTCTTCATTCTCTGCCAAAATAGAGGTGTTTATTATTTGTCTTCTACACTACAAGAAGATTGTTATGAATCGGAGTTGCAAGTGAAATGCCTCATTAGATCCTTGGTTCAGAATCTTGAACAGCAATGATTAAAATGTAGTCACATCTCACTAATGCTGAAAGAGGGTAATCGTCTTCAGAAAAAGATGTCAGAGGTGATAGTAGAGTACACTGTTTCTTGGTAACCTCTGCTGTAGTAATGAAGACTTGCTGTTTATGCCACATCACAGAGGAGTGTCCTTTGGCCTCTAAATCCCAGTAAAGACAAAAGCTTACTGAACTGACAGTTTGACTAAAGCGATGTGACTAGCGCTGAAGGGTGTAATATAAAAAAAATGAACAGTAGCCCCTTTCTGTAAGACTGCCTTTGGGAGTTGAACACAAGAAAATTTGTTATACTTGAGAGCATGTTATAAAGTGACCAGATTTGTTTCTTTCATTTATATGAGGAACCATTTACCTAGAATGCTGTGGACTTCTTGTGTGTGTGTATACATTGTACATATACACCAAATTTCTCAGTAGTAATGTCTAATTCCCCTACCAGCAATACTATCCCAAGTTACAACATTTCACATTTACGTTTTTTTTTCATGGAATGGCATCGGATCAGTTGAGGCCTTTTATCTTATTGTAAGGTGACCACATGTCCCTGATGAAGTATTGTGTCCATTGCCAAATTCACCCTGTCTTGAGTTCAGCAACAACCTGAGCAAGAATAAAATTCTAAAACAGAAACACTCATCAGAGAAACACAGCTATTAATCCAACAAGCTTCTCCAATACTCCCGGCATCAGGAATTGTGGCGAGTTCAACTTTTTAAAAATGTGTCCCTGGATTTGGTTTCCAAAATATGTTCACCCTATCTTATTGGGTACATCATATAATGAACAAGTACCAGACATATAAATTTAAAAGCATTAATGGAGGGAAGAGGAAATTATACTCAAAGGGAATGTTAAGTGCCAAAAATGAGCTCAACAATTAAACATAGCAGAAAGAATATCTGAAATATATTCAGTGATATATTCAGTACGAGTGGAAACCTATAACAATTCTGCACCACTCTGAAAATGTTTTGCATCAATGACCTTTTGTGTTATATGATGTGTTATAGCCAAGAGAAGGCCTTTACTGCATATCCTCTTGATTGTTGCCAATATTTGGACCTCTCCAATAAATGTGCCACAAAACATCAACTTCCACTGCTGGTCAAACTCTTCAAGCCAACAGAGAGTGTATTGGTATGGACCATACTTCTTCCCATTTTTGGAATAGTTTTTCCCATCCCCTCCCCCTCCCCCATCTCCAATCATGAATTTCATGTAATTTCCTCTTGAAACCATTTCACCCTTTGAAAAATAACTTTGTTTTTTTCATACTTCCCCTTCTGAGTGCGAAACAGGGACTGACCTCCAGTTGTGAGCTCCTTATTTGAATGGCATCTATATAGAAAATGTTTTTGTTGTGCAGCCTCAGTTAGATCAGCCCTTTCTTTCGCTCCTCTTCTCTTCTGTTGACAGAAGAAAACTAAGTTTTCTGAGTTTTCACACGTTACTTAACTGCATATTGTGTAAGCGAGCGGGGTGGGGAGGAACTGGCTGGACAGAAGGGGATGACTGTTGAAAAGGAGGGGATGGGGACCTTTGCTGGCTTTAGAAGGGACCATAAATTGGGACAGCAGGAGTGTGTTTTGGGATCAGAGATGTGTGCCCTTTGGGAACATGGAGTGTGTGAGAACTTATGGGATAGATTGTGGGAATGCAACCATATTTGGGTGGGTGGTGGTGGATGAAGAGAGACCGTTTGTTGGGTGGTAGTGGCGGGAGGGGGGGGGGGGAACGGGAGACCATTAGGTGCCACATGGGGGAAGGAGGGTGACTGTTGGGTGGGTGGCTCACGGAGGGCGGGGGGCGTGTAACCAATGGACGTGCTCACAGGGAGGGTGGCGGGTGTGGGTGTTGCGCCCGGTTGGGTTGGTGACCGATGGGTATTGCGAGCTGGGAGGGGGGAGTGAGTTACTGTTGGGTGTTGCGAACTGGAAAAATGACTGTTGGGAGGGGTGGGGAGTGTGACCGTTGGGTGGCGCGAGCGGGGAGGTAGAGTGACCGTTGTGTGTGTGTGTGTGGTGGTGGGGGAGGGTGGTGGTTGACCATTGGGAGGCCTGTGTAGGATGGTATGGGAGATTGTGGCCTGTGTGTGTGTGTGGTGGGTGGGTGGGGAGTGTGACCTGAGGGGTGTGAGGGGGGGGGGGGGGTGTGCCAGGGGAGTGTGACGGTTGGGCGGCATGCGCGTGTGTGTGTAGGGCCGTTGGGCGACGACGTGTGTGTATGTGTGAGGGTGCGCGTGTGTGTGGGTGACCGTTGGGCGGCGCGAGCGGGGAGGTTGGATGACCGTTGGGCGGCGCGAGCGGGGAGGTTGGATGACCGTTGGGCGGCGCGCGCTGCTCCTCTCTGTGTGTGTGTGTGTGTGTGTGTGTGTCTCGCGCTCACAGAGCGAGTGAGGCGGCTGCTGAGGGTGGAGTTGTTCGCACCGTCGCTCCCGCTCTTCTCTCCGCCCAGGAAGCCCACCGCTACTCCTCATTTACCTCGCGTGAGAGGCGGTGGCGGCGGCGGCTCCCACCCCGAGTCCATTTGAAAACATGCTGATCTCGGTGCAGGAATTTATCTCGGAGACGCTGGAGGACCACAGCTCCCCGACCACCTCCTCCTTCATCACCAAGATGGCAAACTGCAGAAACACCGTGACTACACTCGAGGAGGTAAAAGCATATTTATATAACATCTCCACCGCCAGCTGCATTTCAGTGACATTTTCTGTCAGACACCTTTCACGTCTCTCTTCATTTGCTTTCCCCACCCCTGTCGATATCTGTCTCCATCGCCTCGTCAAAGCGGGTGGGGTGGTGGGCGGTGGGGGAATCCCAATCCTTTCCTTTCCTCTCTTGTCCAACATCTCTGTATGAATTGAAACGCCAAACGGTTGATTGGAACATAGTCCTCCTGCTCCCCCCCCCCCCCCCCCGGGGTGCAACACCACCTGTGCAGCCCTCCTCCACGTCTGGCTCAGAATTGGGCTGTAATCTGCGATGCCCGCACCGTTCATCTGCTGTTTGGTTCTGTTTTAGGCGAGCAAGCTTTGTCCTTCTTTTATAAAAGAAAAACGTTTTTTTGTTCCAGAACCAAAAAAACATGAACTATAAGGAACAGGCTGCCTGCCTTCTGTCTTATCTTATCACAAGCTAACCAGGGATCAAGACTTTTTAATCTCATGCATTTAGGGGACCAAATTGTATTCTGTCCTTTACGCTGAGACAGCTCGAAGACATGATAAAGTGCTGTATCAAACTGCAAGGATTACTATTACACCAAGCTTTTCTCCACACACATACATACACACGCATCTGCAAAATCCCACTATCTCTCCCAAGCGGTGACCCCAGAATGTGCGTGTAGTTTCTCCCTCTCTGAATTGTATTCAGTGGTTGTTGTCGATCGATACTTACTTTGATGTACGTTTTAAAATTATTTCATTGTCTGCTTTTCGTTGTAGTGTAATAATTCCACACCTATTAGTTGAATGCACTCTCAAGTGTCAGATAGTTAAGACCAAAAACGTGTGTCAGTTTTCAATGAACAGTATATCTCAGAGTTTCAACAACAAATAACGTTTGTATAGCTCCATTCACATCAAGAGGACGTCCCAAGGCACTGAAACCACATAATGAATATGGGTTAAGTAGCTGATTGGTCACGTATCTACAACGAGTTGCATTATATAGGTCCTCACGAAGGATAATGTCTTAAAAGTGCTCAATTAAAAAACATTAGTGACAGATTATTTATACACGGGAACCCTGTTATAGCATTCTTCAATATAGCAATAACTCACTTATAGTGCAGGTCTACTGTGGACTCTGGTACGCCTGGCTTCTTGTACAAAAAAAAGGCCAAACTCTGGCTTGACTTATCGTCTTTGAGGTCAGTTCCTCATATTGTACTATATGCAGAAAGCGCTGCTAGTATTGCTTCTGTGCTCCACACATACATGAATACACATACAGGATCTCCACTTAAGTCAGCAGCCACCTGATGAAGTTGACCATTTTTCCTCGCTGCACTTATAATGGAGTTAAGGAGTCATTGGATCCAATTAGGTTATGAAAAGGTTTCCCTGCATGTAACCCTTGGGTTTACGTGGATGGCGTCAGGATATTGGAAAGAGAGAATGAAGGAGTATCTCTCCAGAAGGCCTAGTATATAATTTTTACACATGACTGATTTACTGGAGATGATTTCTTGATTTTAGTGATCACGGAATATTTTTGGCACCTTTGTACGCCTTCTTTCAGGCCTCTTGTCAGTGGCTAATTAATCAGCCTAATTCTGCATTAATTATTTAATTAATTAAGTATTAGGTGCAGGTAGACCACAACAACAACAACAAATTACATTTGTAGAACAGGTTGTTGGAATTGAGTTGACTTTCTGTGGCAGTCTTGATTGTCTGGTTCCTGAGCCAGGTGGGTTCACAGTACTCTGAGGCACTGTTGATGACTGACCATCCATCCTGAATAGTCAGCAGAACTTGGAAGGGCAGACCAGTTACTTATGGCAAGGGTTCTTCCAACTCTGCTCCTGTTAACCCTGCAAGCCAAAGCCTAATAATAATAATAATAATCCTTGCATTTGATATAGCGCTTTTCACGTAGGGAGGACGTCCCAAAGCGCTTCACAGAACACACTGTAAAGTCAAATGACTGTAGATTTGTGAGCGAACGCGGCAGCCAATTGCGCACAACAATGTCCCACAAACATTCGAAGATTGAAAATGACCAATTTATTATTGTTTTTGGTTTTGGAGGGATTATTATTAGGCTCTGTGTGGAGTAAGGAAACTTGCCCAAGGTTTCGCCCTCTGCCTGGAATTGAACTCAGGTCTCTCACTTGCAAAGCGAGTGCTCTAACCACTGAGCTACAGGACTCCACGATGGGTAGAGTGGTCCTAGCTGGACAATTGGTAAGCTTGTCAGACAGTATATAGATTTAGCTGATTAACCCCTAGCGGTACCCCAATGCCCACTCTTATCACCTCAAGCCTGAGCTTTTGCCTATCTTCTCCTAATGCTTTCTGGAATTAGGGAAGAGGAACGTCTCTCCAAAGAGAGTGAGCACTCCATTGCAGATAAATTAGGTAATCTTCATGGCATTTACATGTGGAATTCAGTTTGGCTGGATATTCTTAAATATGGTGATTGGGTTTGGTGTAGATGAAGACACTGGCTAACCAAAAATAATTGCTAATGCTACTGACAATGCAAGAACAGAATCAAAATTCAACAGCTCATAATCTAATCCAGATGAAGAATCTTGTGGACTATTAGATCTACTTCATTAATGCATATTTTTTGTAATAACTTTATTAATTATTGGTTGTTAATCTATGAATCATCATGCATTAATTCTTTATATTACTAAAATATTCATTGTCATTGAGTTTTCCGAAGTATTTTCAATGATGCTTCATTCTCCTATACACATTCCCCACATACAAATGAGCTTTCATCCTATATTAATTCTTGAGATGTGATCGGTGGTTTTCTCTGCCCAGAGGATCAATATATCACAGATCTAAACAAGTATAATCGTTTGTCTGTATCAGATAACATAAAACCATCAGACGTATTAAGAATGTATCAAGAGATCAGTTTGATTCTGATATGAGCTGCACACCAGTTAAAAAAACCAAGCCTTTTCAATAACGTTTCTGGGGAGCCATAAGAAAGATCACTATAATTTTATTTCAGTCTTTCATACACTCATCAAATTTATTGTTATTGGCATTCACTATTAACAGCCTGTATTGTAAGAACATTATTAATTGTACTATTGTACCACTTGATACAGTGTAGTGAAATTGATATACATTTCTTGTATTCACAAATTGGTACAATCTTATCTGCGGAGTGGATTTTTATCAGTTAGTTATTGTGGCCATTAAAACCAAACTGCAGTACATCTGCTACCACTATCAATGAGGAAAGAGGTATTCACATTCTCTTTGCTCAGCACAGAGCGTGTTATTCTCATGGTAATTCTTTTATTTCTAGGATGATTTATAATTGCACTCAGAGGTACCTCCCTTTGTAGTGAGTGTGTTCCATTGACCTCCTACATACTAGAACTGTTTGACATATAATTATGAACATAGGAATAATGGAATACTGTTCTCAAGTAATAAAACTTAAACAATTTGTTCTATACATATCTAGAAGGCCCAGGTTTGATTTCACTCTATTTTCTGAGTGAGCTACTGGGTAACTTAAGTGAACTTAAATTAACTTTAACAAAAACAGAACGCATTCTGCTGGGAACACATTCTTCCCTTTTACCCTGCTCACCTTCTTTGCTATCTGTTTCCCTTCTTGTTTTAAAAGCCTACCTTGAAAAAGTTTTGCTCTTCTCTTCGAGGTGACTTCCATTCTTCTCTTTCACTCTACTCATCTTTGCTATCTGTTTCCCTTCTTGTGTTAAGTGTTCCCAGCGACTTCTGTTTTTGTTTCAGATTTCTAGCATCTGCATTATTTTGCATTTTGTTTAAATTAGCTTTAGTTAGGGAGGGGAAAATCAGCATTAGTGCCTTCTTGATATCTAGTGATACCTTGTGTGAGAAAATGTTATGGATGCTACTGAGTAAGACAGTATAGGGATGGATGTTCCTGTGGTCAAGCAGCTTGCTAGCAGTCATAGTCAAACATGAAGAATGGTCCCTTTGGATGCCTGTGGATTCATGCCCCAACAGCAGGAAAATGTTTGATGGCTTCAGAAGGAAAGGGAATTAGCAAATGGAAGAAAACCCAGAATTGTCTGTTACACATGTGATGTTCTGTTTTAGTCATTAGTTTACGTAGGAAGTACTGTACAACAATTGCTAAATGCTTCTTGTTGCGCAACTGAAATATAATATGAGTAGTTACTCTACTTGGCACTGAAAATATTTTGATTCTACTGGATTTGAATCACAAGAAAAATGTAATGGTGTTTCCTTGAGGTAAATTATAGAGATAAAAGAAATCTTAAAGAGAACTGTTTTTTTTTCATCCACTGCAGTACTTGTGGTGATGGTACTCCCACGATGTACATTAAGGAGTTTCAGGATTTTGACCCAGCAAAGGAGTGGAAATGAATATACTGTGAGGGAGTGGAAATCAATGTACTATTGGAAAAGAATATTACTGTAACAATGAGCTACCATCAGTTCTTACTACCATTTTATCCAAACTATTTGGAGAAAAAGAGCAGTCATGACAACTAAGAAGGTTTAAATAGCTCCACACTGCTCTGGACGTCAAGAAAGAAAATGTCAGAAGAAAAGGGTAAGTCATGTAATGAGCAAACTGCATCTCATGATTGCTTTCTTATAATTTATGACATTAGTCTCATGAATGCACATCAGAAAACAACCTCCACATAATGATCATCGTTTAATAATGGATGTACAGTATGGCAAAAGTTTTAAACATATTGATTTGTTCAGAAATTTATGACAATTACTTTTCCTGTTCCCTTGAGAATATTTCTTGAGCTGGTCAATAGCACTGCTCACTGCTTCCTCTGCTTATTACTGCATTTTGTGGAGACATGTAGCTTCGTGGTTAGAGCACTCAACTCGCAACCAAGAGGACCTGGGTTGGATTCCCTGCAGGGCGAAACATTGGGTATGTTTCCTTACTCACACGCCTCTCTGTTTACCTAGCAGTAA